TCGGAAGAGTTATGCACACCTCTGGATCGGGATCGTTTTGCATAAAGTTAGCTTTGGGTGTTCAAGGACTGTTGTTGGTTAGTTGGTTAGCATAGCGTACCTATAGACCCTCTTACCTAATGCACGGTCAATTTTGAGCTGCCGTTTGTTAAAAGGTTAGGTTTTTCCTTGCGCAAGAAGCGCAACGAAAATTCTTGAGCCCCGCTTTGACAAAAACTTACTTCCCGCTAATTAGTCGCAAAAGTTGGCTGATACGCGAAAAACTGACTTCCAATGATTTTTCAGAGACACCCTTAGGGTAAATTTAGACAAAAAAGGACTAGGAGATCAGGAGTTTGTTCACTTGCTGAGCTCTCATTTCTCAGAAATCGTCTAAACCAAAAATAAGAAAACTGTCAGCTTGGAGATTCTCAACTATGTGAGTATGGTCGGGCATGCCAGCTTTCCTTTCAGATATGACATTGCACAACCATGCAAAAAGGTAGTTGCGATCCACCATAAAATGAGATGGGGAATCAAAGCTTATTTTCCAGGAAACGTGATCGACAGACCGATAACTCGCCTTTAAACCTAAACGCTTCGTAGATTTTGTAGCTTTAGCGATTTCTTTTTTTTTTTTGAAAGTCTACCTACAAAAGCCAGCATGCAAGATAATCATTTACGCGAAATTTACGAGAGAGTAACTATGTTACTATCAAGTTTCTGTTTAAACAAGCTTTATTTTATATTTAACACAGTGTTCGAAAGTACCAGTAGGCAAATAACAACTGAGATAAGCGATATGCTACATGATCAACGCTGCCGATCCATCTTTTGCAAACCCATATATCGATGACGTAGCTGGATCGAAACGTGCATGTAAAAAAAGGTTATATGATTCCATTTTACAAATTCGACTAGAACAGCTGATTAACAGATAAGTTCTCAAAGCATTCAAAGTGAGACATAGTTGCAGTTGGGCTAGAGTAGGTAGCAGTAGTTAATATGTGCGAGTTGTGAAAGTGAAACGCAATAAGAGATACACATAGCTAGGCAACAAGCTAGGAAGTGAAATCAGCAGTTGGTCAGGCCCGGGCGAGGTCAAATATGATTGGAGAGTCGTCCTCGGCATCCATTGCTAACACGGTGTCAACTTCGTAGATCTAAGTCAAAAGTGATGTAGAAGGTTTATAAAGAAGAATAACCAAGGTTAAGCCCTTTAAGCGTAGCCTTTTTCAATATCCTCGTTCAATCAACATGGACTGTTGAATTTGCAAGAAAATTAGTCTCGATCCTTTCGATTTAGTACTGTACTCACCTCTGTGGCGTCGCGCGTTCGCGTCGGACGGATCTGGTCAAGAAGATGAGCACGAATAGCAATACCAAGAAGAATGCAGCATCCACGGATCACTGAACAGCTATCATTTAGAGAGGAAGGATTAACAACAACAACAACAACGGCTTTTTTGAGCTATTCAAGAGAGTGCAGTTGCTACTCGCGATTCATTGCATCTCAGCAAACTGTAATGTTTGGTCTGAGAGTCTAGTACACAGTTTTATTGTTTTAAGATCGCAGTCAAGATTTTGAAAAATAAGAAAGAACTACTCCGAAAGTTGTCCTTCTTTGAATACCAGGATTTGGAGATTCGCTAATGATATGACCACCACATATCCGTTTCAAATAATAGGAACTTTTTAGGTTACGGTAAGCTGGCATAACATAGATGGATCAAAATCAGGCATGTTCCTGAAAAGTGGGATATTGGGGTTGATCCCCATCTTAATAATGAAAAACAATTCATTTTGTTCGATAGAGCTATTGCAGGGTTGGGTAGCCTGATATAGAAATGATTAATTTTGCATTGATCCTGCTGAAAGGCCATGCGACTAGATATGATCTTTGAAATCAGCAACTCAATAAACCTCACTTGTACTCATTCAAATCTGTTATTTTGA